TTCTTGACTTAAAAAAAAGATTCATGCTTGCACCATTTCATCTACAGAGCTCAGTTGCACCTGACCTCAGCTGTTGCTGTAGCTCCTTGTGCTGTATAACTCTGGAGGTGTGTGTGAAGGAGCAGGACAGAATACCATTACGGCTTTTTTTATGGCCCCAGCATCTCGACATAGCTAGCCCGAAGGTGTCTTTAAGATGTTTATTGATGTCTGACAGTGAAAGAAATAAAGCGCGTGTGAATGCATTGCTTAAGTAAATTAAGTATATTGGAAAGCCTTCGTTACAGTGTTTTGAGTAACCTGGATATCTGGAGACAGATTAGGTTTTGTCCCAAAATGAAAAGGACACAAATATTGCTTTGCTGTTGCTAGGAGCAGAATAAATGCTTGTTAGACAACATCAGCTGTTATCTTCAACACTCATATCCTGTTTAAATGCCTCCAAGCTCTCAAGCTAAACACCCAGAGTATGGTACCAACTTCTGACTAATACTCAAATTATAGCTTCACCCCAGGGAGTGACTGCCTCATTGTAGCTGCTGGATTTGAAGCCTAGCTGTGTGTGAGCTGTGTTGGGCAGTTATTTACTTAAAGTTCACAGACCTGGGAGTGTCGACGACTTGAGCAAAATGCCCCTCTTATCCTGCTTGTCCTACTTGTTTTTGAAGGTGAAAGAGGACCGGGCACACCTTCGTAATAAAGACGACAGGGCAACAGACTAGAATATTAAATGAGTCGTCAGCTCTTATATGTAAACCTGCCAAAACATTTCTTTAGGTTGTTTTTGGGCTTTATAAATTATTTTACTAATTGACGTCCAGCTTTTATTTATGTTTGCTGTTTTTAAGTGTTTTTGTCCTTTCATCGCCCTACACATGTAATTTCTTTCTTACTCTTACAAGTTTAGGCGCTGACAGTATCGTGTTTGTGAGCGATCTGCAGTCTCTTCATTGGTCGGGTCCTGTGACCGGAGTGTTTGATAGCCACCTAGTGTTTTTGTTTCCTGCTCATTGTGGAGATTGATTATTTCATCTAAAGAAACGAGTAACATCAGCACAGACTAAATACAGTTCTTGTGTTTCGCAACAGTGGGCATACATGTGATTTCAGCAGCTGAGAAGTAGCTTATCAATGAAACCAGCTGATACTGCTGATGTAGACCTTAGAAAAGGCCGTGTGACCTATTGCTGTATGTCTGCTTCAAGCCTCGACTTTAAATGACCCCTGGACGTGTTTGTATCACTGTGTCCTTGATGGGACACGTGGCACACCCAACACCGAGCATACAGAGAACAGTGTGTACTTGTAAATTGTACCTCTAGATGTTTTTAAATAACTTTGAAGGTGCCGCCAGGTAGTCATTGTCGAACCGCAGCATGGCGATCATCTGAGGCATTTTTACCTGCATGTCTTTCGCAATATGTTTGAAAATATGAAGCTGGCAGCTTTTTATGGCCCCATGACTTTAGCCTTGTTCATGATTTACCAGTTCAGTTTAATTAGTTCTGCTTCGCTGCTTAAAAAGTCCTGTTTGGTTGGACTGTAACGATTCTGACCAGGCTGATTTAGTGGATGATGGCTTTTGAAAGCTCTGTCACTGAGCGAAGAGGGCAGAGGATGTTCAACCAACTGTCTCACCAGGGAGGAAGCACACATGGATTTTTAGCTTATCTAACAAAGCGAGGAGTAGACCGGCGTATAAACCCAGCCATTTATAGACGATCAAGGATAATAGTGAGGACCTATAACTCAACTGTAACAGTGGTTTTTTGGTCTGTCACACCTGCCTTTGTTGGAAGGAGGTGTCAAAACAAGTTTTACAGATGAAAACCAAACCATGACAAAGAAGTGTAAATGAAACTCGGTGGGGGGGGGGAAAGAATATACCATACTACATCCTCCTTCACAGCTGCATAACAAACAGCCTGGTCCTCCAGGAAATCAACGCACGCTGCTTCTGAATCTGTCTCTTGCCTTATTAGAAAGAAATACTACTGTGCTGTAAAACTAAGAATTATAGCTGTATGAATAAGAATGAGACATCCTGTCATAAGGATCGCCAAAGTCACCCTGATCCTTGACACAACACAGTATTAGTCAAGACTGGATTAGGGGAACATTACGAGTATTTATGGCAGTGAGAGAGAAATTAAACATGCCAGTGTCAGATTTTAGGGCCACTGAAACACAGTCTGTCCAAACGGCAACAACAGGCATTTAATTAGGCACAGGGTGTTAGACTGACTTCCCTAAGGGGCCCAACAGGAACTGAGAATCAGGTCGGAGGTCACACATGTAGTTTATTGTCCTGCCTTCATGTGACATGTGTGACTCATATTGCTTTTGTCATGTACTCTGTGGTCTGGGTAAAGCATTCAGTCAGTCATCCAGAAGCAGCATCAGTGTTTTTAGTTAAGCAACATTATTGCATTCTGATTACACTCATAAAAAAGTTAACCAGCCAGTTTTAAAGCCTGAATATGATGGCATCTGCAGTATGGGGCCTTTTAATAAAACCAAATATATCCTGATGTAAACAAGG